AAAAAGATTATTTGTTGTGCCCTCCCATTCACTGGGCTCTAAGTTTTCCCTTCTGCTACTGAGAAACCCGAAAATGTGAAAAGGTCTATTGTGCAATATCTAAATTGGCAGCCTTTACCTATGTGATCTGTGCTTAAAAATGTACATTTTCTGTGTGTAATCCTATTGTATGTTACAGATTTGTCAAACAATATTATTTCATTTTCTTTTTTGTTTTATAGTGTGGAAAGGGGGCAGAAAACTTTGACAAGTTCTTCACTCGCACGCAGCCACAACTGACCCCTCCTGACGAGCTGGTTATTGCCAACATCGACCAGGCTGATTTCGATGGATTTACCTTCGTCAATCCTCAATTTGTCCATCCCTCCCTTGTCAACACTGAATAAAAAAGGGGAAAGAAACAGCGAATGAATGTGAATCTACCTACTACCCCAAAACTCTACCCATACCTTTACCCTTTTGTGTCAAAAACTTTAAACCAAAACCACAATTATCTCAAACTATGTTTTATTTTTGGTTAAAATCATTTTTTGTCCCATTTTTCACGTCATTTCAGTGTAGGCCAGTCGAAGAGTTTACCTTAGTGGTTGAAAAGAGATTGAGAGATTCTTTTTTTAAATCAGACTTATACTTAACCTCTAGTTAGGAAGGGCTGTTTACTTCTTAAACTGGCTGCGTGATTTTTGTCCACACTGATTTTTAAAGACTAGGAGGCCATCTTATTTCAAGCCACTTGTGGCCGACATATGATTTCACCATTAATCCCATATCAGACACAGAGTTGTGCGCTTCCTAAGACAGTCTTCCCATTCAGGATTTCTTATCGCCAAAGCCGGTGGGGTTTCTGTCTTCCCCTTAGCACTAAACCAATTGAACCATTTACAGAAGTATATGTGGTGTCAGTTTTAGCACTCCAGTGGAGTCCAGTGTTTCTCATTGGATATGTCGTTAAATGTTTTAAAATAATAATACTGTTTTAAAATAAAATACTGAACATCTCTCAGTCTAATATTTGCACATATTTCAGGTATGACATGACAACTTGGCACTCCAGTTTAACAATTTGTATTTTTTTGTTCTATGGTTAAAATAATAATAATAATAATAATAATAATAATAATAATAATAATAATAATAATAATCTGTGCCAAGAATTGCCACAATCCACAAGCATACAAAGCTTTGAATGAGTGATATGTTGATGAAAGTTTATGAAATTAGGTTATTTTCAAATAGTATATGTTGGTGCATATAAAAAAGTTTTATTTTAGCGTAAACAAAGTTACACTTAAAAAAAATGACAATAATATAAATGTATTACCTCATTATCCCTTTAATTCACAAGTGTTTTTAAAAGATTATCTGGACAACAACCTGGGAACATGAGAGATCTCTTTGTATGTGTGTTTTGCTTTATAAATGCTGAGAGATTGAAGAGTCTGTATTTATATCCAACTATAATTAAGCCAATTCTTAATTAGCATAGAGGTGAAAATAAACACAGTACCTGCAGAATAACCTTTACATCATTATGTTTGGATTAAACATAAATGATTGTCAAAATGTAACATCACTGAGTCACATTTCCCCTCTTGCTGCTTCAACATTTTGGTAATACTTAATAAAGGCTGAACAGTTTACTACCAACATTACAAGTTGCATTACAAAGGTGATATTTCTGTGTCATTGTGGCAAATTTACAACTGAGGGATCAGAATGAAAGTGGATTTGCATTATCATAAAATTGAAGGACAATTATTAGCCAGTTTACATGTTTTTGGTGACCTTTATAGTCCACTTTTATGCTCATTGTTCCTTTTAAATGTGTATTCTTTGTGGTAAGCTCGTCATTACAGTCAGCTAATATATTCAGGTAGATATTTGTGTAATTCTTGTCATCATTGGTGTGTACTGTACGCCTTGCCATGGAAATGATCTTGTCGTTTGCATAATGAAGTCATTTACAAATGTGCTTTCGCCATTCAGTTCTTATTTTGTATGTTTTACCCTTGTCAAAACACCTTTGCTTTTGGCTGTTCTGTGTGACCAGATTGTATTCCATGATTTTGAAGTGTAAGCTGACTGGCTGCTGTTCTAATGTGGGCTGACAACCTGCCTGTGCTTGCATGTTTGGGTACAAAAAAAAAAGGATCTGCTTGAAAAAGAATTGTGTGTATTTATGAAGAATGTTTTGTTACGGAAATCGACTTTATAAGATTAATACAGCATGGAATATGAACAAGGCAGATATATTTAAATATATGAAATTCTCAGTAGTCTAACACTGAGTTTCATTTTAATATTTATATTGAAGTTTGTGATAGAGTTGAAATGTCCTTCCCATCTTTTACTGATCTTAGACTTAATAAGTAACAGAAATTATTTAGTACATTTTAAAATTAGAGCAAAATCATCAGATTGGTTTAATTTTTAATCACATGCTATGAGTTTTGTTCTAGATCTAATGTATGTGCCAGTTTAATGTCGTTTTTTGCCACAAAACTTTAGGTGTTTGAGAATTGGCACCATCTTTCTTTAGATCAACTCACTTGTCTTTTTTGTTTCTGTGATTGTTGTAAGTTTTAGCATTTTAAAGATGCATTTACTGCGGTAGGAACCCTCTAGTGCTACAGTAAACTATCTTTGTTGAACTCTTATGCAAAATCCCATCTATTTTTCTTTCTTTTGTTGGGTGTCTCCAAAAACCTGCTTTACATCAGTGCCGTGCTGAACCCAGCAGGAACAGTGTTGCACTGTGTAGCCACAATGAAGATTGCCAGTATTCAATCCAGTATTTTGTGCACTAGTCTCATGTAGCTGTACTGTTTACTCTGAATGCTAATACTGCTCCTGAGACTGCAGTAAAGCATCTCATGCTGTGTGTATTTGCCATTCAATCATGTGCACTACCTTAGCTGTTGTAAAGAACGTTGCATAGCTATTCAAAAAAAAAAAAGAAAGAGTTTAATGTGGCATGCTTTGAGTTTCCTTTACTGTAAAATGATCCACATGCCTTATCCACTCCTTTTGCTATTCCTGTGCTGCTGAATGAACGATTGATTATATGAACAAAATAATCATTCAACTGATAATGTGTTGCTTGTTTCTTTGCTTCATGTATTTAGCATTCATTGAATTGTTAGCTCACTCCAAATTTTTAATCTTGTGGTCATGTTGTTTTAGTCTCATGTTCTTCTGTGGAGCACGAAAGAAGATATTTTGAAGATGCTTGGAAATGACTGACTTCCAGACACTCAGAAGTCAGAATTTCTTCTTTTTCTGTTCCACTGAAGAAATAAAGTCACGTGGGTTGATAGATTATGACAGAATGTTCATTTTATGTAGTCTGCTCCCTTTGTCATCTATTAATTATTCAATCTTAATTGTTTTTGACACCCAAATTATAAGAAAAGTCTAGTTATGTTCCCCAATAAACAGTGATTTATTTATTTGTGTTTCTGTACTTTTGTGCTTGTCTAAGAGGAAGACAAGAATGTTGTTCTTCTTTTTACCCCTTCTTTTTTCAATATTTGTGTTGGTCGTAGATTTTTACACCATCATGCTATCCTTTCTTTTTTTTTTTCGTGTTTAGGTTTTTCACCTGTTTTATATCCATGCTTTTCATTCTTCATTTGGTGGACAGAATCAACAGAATGCCTTATTTTGCTCTCTTTCTGTCTTTCAAATAGCATGTCCCTGAATGAAACCCAAAGCAGCATCGCTGTTCTTATACATAAATCAGTAAATCTAGTAAAAATGTTGTAATTTGTAGCGGTGTGTTTTCCAACCTTTGTTGTCTTAACAGAATCTATGCTTTTTCCATGTTGTCATTTATACCTAATGTACGATGTTGCAAATAAAGAAGGGAAAAATGACAGTTGGTCTGCGCATGTATCCCTTCTTGAAAATGAAGCTGCCACTGACTGTGGTGATCTGTTATCTTGTCTCATGCATTAGAGCTGGGTACAGATAAAATTTTCATGTTCGGAGAGTGGAAAGCAGCATAAAATGGATATTCTTAATATTTCATCCTACAGCTCAGGACACTGTCAGTACTCTTATCAGCACATTTAGTCTAGTGCAACAGGATTTTTTTTTTTCCCTCAGACAGATTTACAGAAAAAATACTGTTGTGAACACTATGCATTAAAAGCCTATGGGTTTAGGTCTTTCTCTTTCCAGTAATCCAATTATTAATATTAAAACATTACACTCATCTCTCTAGAGTTCTCAATATTATACTAAAAATCCAAGCATCAACATTGATAAAAGTGTGGTTTGAACTGCCAACAAACCAGCAACACTGAAAGGGAATAACATGGATAAGCCCTTTTCATCTTTTTTAGTTGACATATGGTGAGATCATTTAAATGATCTGCCACTTCTCACACTGGCTTAATCTCAGACTTACCAGACCCTAAATATTAATGTCAAAATGTAGTTTTTTTATGGTTACCTTTTAAAGTTCTGTTGACTGAAAGGGGTGTGTGGAAAAAGTATGACCAACCTAACCTCGGGATTAAATTATTTAATTAAATTTATAATCCAACTGTTGGGTTTGTTCATATATTACTCAAATTTGGGTTGAAATAACCATTTACATGGTTTTTCAACAGAACAGACATTCTACTGCGCTATAAATAATTGTGTACATGTCAACGTATTTTCATAGCCATAACTTCAACCTCTTACAAATGCTCTGCGAGACAGTTGATGTAAGTTACTTGTAGTGAACAGTTTCTAAAGTGCACCATCAAAATAACTGAACAATAAAAAATAAGTTGTAAATTTGTCAGTCAGAAAACCAATTCGGTGAGTGGACCAAAAAAATATGGCGCAAATGCTCTGCGAAGCCGTAACATCCATAACACATTACCCCAAAAGCAACATGATCATCCATAACAAAACAAATCATGACACAGCAATCTACATCATCTACCTAAAGCCAATAACACAAGAGCAGTGGCACAGTACGCATACAAATAGTCTCTTGTGGCGTTGTCAGTCCGTGACGCGCAGAAAGAGAGAGAGAGAGGGACTTCCACAGAGCTCGGAATAATGCGCGGCGCATTTCGCCGTAAACATGTGTGAAGGGTTTTAAGTGGTTCTTATGCCTAGGAGCTGCTCTGTGATGAGATAGGTTTGTTAAACATTTGCGTCTTTTGTGCTTAATCGACGACGAAGTGAAGAACGCGCGCAACACCGACAAGTCTCAGCGCAGGTAAGTGGAACTAACAAAACTGTTGTGTATAATGGCCCCTCCTAAAATTCTATAACATTCCTTAAAAAGCTGAACTTTTTTTGCTATCCAAATTTTCTTGTTCATTTTCTCACTTTAATCACATTTATCTGGAAATTTTGTATGTTTTTTTGTCAGTCGACGCAAATTGTGAGAAACTAAATATAACAGGTCAACGCATGTTGAGATGAAAGCATTTTTACGTAATGCTGTCATGCAAAAAATGATATTAATTCATTGTACTAGCTACTTACATATTATTAAGGCTTTTTACAGGCTATGTATGCTTTATACATATAAGTCTATATGGAATTTTGCAAGGTAGGAGCACCGAAAATAGAATTTAGATGGCTGTCAGGGGGAGTTCTGTCGTTGTAAGCAGGTTTGCAGCTTCAGCACCAAGGACAGATTCCCTCTGTCTGGAAGCCTCAGAAGTAGGCTAATAGTTTGCTGTCACATGGCAACAAGCTGTCTCCTACAGTCATCATCACTTTTGATAACAACTACTAATATGATTATAGACGAACAGACTGTAATAGGGATCTTATATTATATTATATTCATGAAATATTAAGTTTGTTGAATATAAATAGATAATTAGGTACAATAACTGATAACAAACAACACTGATTCCATCTGTAAGAAAGTCCACGGCTCTTTCTTTTCCATAGAAAAAAAGTAAGCTACTTTTAAGACATGTAAAGTGTAAATGCATTTTTTTTTCATGCTTTTTGTATCATGACATGGTTTGATTGGCTTATGTGAATGACTATGCTGGTTAAAACTCCAACTTAGGTGAATGGAATTCAACAGACACAGATTTGTGACATAAATTGCAACTTGATTTAATTAAATTTTGAATTAAAAATTAAAGAATTTAAGAATTTGAATTAAAAATAATGTTATTTTGATGCTATATTTGGTCTTCACATCAAGGCACACGCACACAGACACACACCAACACTGTGACTTAGTATAGCAATACCTGTAAATTTTAACCTTGTTGGGACATTCTTTGATCTCATATAGTAAGGGAATAATCGTTATTCTTTATAAAACATCTTTCACAGAATTATTTTTTTTTTATTGTAAAATTGTAGATGTTACCTGATATTGTTTACACAAGAAACATCATTATGTCTATGCTGTGTGCGTGTCTGTGACTGTCCATGTGTGTATTTTAAAGTATTGTTTCACCTACATCACCGGATGCATCTAAAGCATGTGTTGTATTGTAATACCAAGGTAATATGAGGTGTCAATTCACTAGTTCAGTTACAGTATGTCTAACGATTGTGATGAGATTAATGACTCTTGTTTGATCAGTCTGATATTTGTAGCTTTGCTGTGATGGCATTTGTAGTGTAGACGCAATATGTGCACTTACATTTTGTGTCCAGAGTATATACACGGTTTCAGAAAATAAACAACTGCTACCAAATCTTACATTCACAGATATTTATACAGTATGTCAACAGTTCTGGATATTCTGGCTCCCTTGTATAGTTCATTGCATTCCTAAGTAGAAATTATAGCCCCGATTGTCTCTGTCAGTTGATGGATGTTGCTAGATGGCATGCAATGCCATTACATTCCCCACAGAACAAATATCCTTCATCCTGTTGCCTGAGTGGAAAATATTTTGTAACATGGCTGCTTTTGCTGTGATAAATGCAGTGGTGAAAAGTAGCTTTACTTGAAATTAACTTTTTTATTATAATTAAATTGTGCTTCTTTTACTTGAGTTGTTTGGAAATTCATGTTGTTTCATTCATGTTGTTTCTATAGTACATGTTGAATAAACAATACAAGGCAGGATTTTAATAATGAGTCAGTAAGTATTAAAATCTGTGCTGATGCTACATAAAGGACCATGCAGGCAAACATAAAGGCTTATCCCAGTTTTGCCAGAAAACATCTTGATGATCTCCAAGACTTTTGGGAAATTACTATGTACTCTGATGTACAAAAGTTTTTTTTAAAGGTGTGTGTCCCATTATGTGTGACATAAAAGTAACACTGTATTTCAGAAAAAAGAACATCACACAAACAGTAAAATGTGGTGGTGGTTACAGTGTGTTGGTCTGGGGTTGTTTTGGTGCTTCACTGAAAGACTTGCTGTGATAAATGGAACCATGAATTCTGTCGTGCAACAAAGTATTTTGCAAGATAGTGTCTCGCCATCTGTTAGTGACATCTAACTAAAGCAAAATTGGGTTCTAGAGCTAGACAATGATCAAAGAAACACCAGCAACCACTACTGAATGGCTGAAGAAGAAACTAAGTAATAACTTGGAGTGGTCTAGTCAAAGTACTAACCTGAATCCAATTGAGATGATGTGGTATGAATTTAAATAAAAGGTGCATGCTCGAAAACATCTGTAAAACTCAATTTTTTCATCTTAAAAATGTTGCCAAACTTTGACGTATGCTGTCAATATCTGATACAAAAAGTTTATTCATGTATTCATGACCTTTCAGTTAGACTGTTGTAGTGTGTTACTAGATGGTTTTCCTGTATGCCTAATTAACAAACTTCAGCTGGATCAGATTGCAGCTACAGAACTAAGTAATATGACCATATTTCTCAGTTTTTCCAACATAGCTTTGGCTCCCTATTAAACATTGTATATCATTTTATTGACTATCTACAAAACTCTGAATGACTTAACTCCCCAGTATTTAAGGAAGCACCTGGTGTATTACAGTTCCTCATGACCAATATGCTCAATTAATTCTGGACAATTGATTATTCCTAGAATATCACAATTGACTATAGGTAAATGATCCTTCTCGTATCTGGCACTTAAACTCTGGAACAGCTTTCCTAGCACATTTCAGGAGGCATACTTAGTGTACTGGTAGAAATGTGTTGCAGTAGGAAGGGCATCTGGCGGTAAAACATGTACTAGAGAAATTGCTGTGTGAGTCATTCCACTGTGGCGACCCCTGATAAACCAGGGACTAAGCCGAAGGAAAGTGAGTAAGTGAGTGAGTGAGTCTGCAGAGCAACCACTTAGTAATGCACTACAATCATCTAGCCTTGAGGTCATGAATTCATAAAGTTTTGTTTTTACCATTTGACATTGAGCGCATATGAAGTGATTTAGAATTTGGTTGTATTTTTAAAATGGAAAAACACAAATGCTGAAAATGTGGTTTTCAATTGCCAAATCACTATTTAAATTGAAAAATAGAGAGTGATGAAGCAAATTATAATATGGTAATGGTTAGGAGGCCATGATTGACAGAGACCATTGGGCAAATTTGGCGAGGATACCAGGGTTGCATCCCTACCCTTTATGAGGGGCATCCTGAGATTTTTAATGACCACAAAGAGTCAGGACCTTAGTTTAACTTTTCATTTAAATGATGGTGCTCACAGATGTTCTCATCCCTATACTGGGGCACTAGGAGCCACACAGACCACAAGGTGGGAACACCCTGTTGGCCTCACTAATATTGGTTTTAACAGCAACCTAGTTGCAACTAGAGAGCGTGTTGCGACAAGGTGATATGTCCTCTGTTGTGATACTTAGGCTCACCAATAATAATAATATTAAAATTCAAATGTAAATTTTAGTTGATGGTGTAAGTTCTAAGCAATTTTTTTCCAGTAAAAAAAACACACAATGGAGTCAGTGAGGGGCAAAGTTCAAAAGGGAGACAGCTCTGGGGAAAAAGCTGTTCTTCAGTCTGCTGGTTTTTGTCTAGTGGAGCCTGAAGCGCCTGCCGGAAGGCGGGGCTTTGAGATGTGGGTCGCCAGGAACTTGAAGGATGAGACAGGTTCAATGGTCATCCCATTGATGTGAATGGGATCATGTGAGCCTGTTCGTCCCTTTCTGAAGTCCACAATGAGCTCCTTGGTCTGGTTGGTGCTAAAGAGAAAGATTATTGTCGGTGCACCAAGTGGCCAGATGCTGTATCTCCTCCCTGTAGGCAGTCTCATAATTATTGCTGATTAGACCAATCACTGTGATGTCATCTGCAAATTTGATGATGTTGTTGGATTTGTTCACAGGCCTACAGTCCATGGTAAAAAGGGAGTAGAGGAAGGGGCTCAGCACGCAGCCCTGTGGTACACCAGTGTTGAGTGTGACGGTGGTGGAGCAGATGTGGCCTGATCTAAAATTCCATGGTCTGTTAGTCAGAAAGTCCATAACTCAGTTGCAGAGAGATGTGTAGATATCCAGGTCTCTAAGTTTGATCATAACTTGGAAGGTATGACAGTGTTGAATGCTGAGCTGAAGTCAACAAACAGCGTGTGTGAGCACAGAGTGCAGTGCTATGGAGACTGCATCTTCTGTGCTCCTGTTGCCACGGTAGGCAAACTGATGTGGGTCCAGTGTGGATGGCAGAGAGTCTTTTAGATGTGAGAGGACCAACTGCTCGAAGCACTTCATGATGATTGTTGTGAGTGAAGACGTTTGAGGAGGTGAGTGTGATAGGTGAGTTGTCGGTTAAGGATGTGATCCTGGTGTAGGGTTCTTTATTGTCTCTTTCAAAATGATGATAAAAGTAATTTAGCTCATTCAGGAAGAAAACATTTGTGGCTGTGGGTGTGGACTGGCTGGGTTTGTAGTTGCTGATGGCCTGGATGCCCTGCCACATGCGCCAAGGATCAGAAATGGAAAAGTGCTCCTCTAGCTTTAGCTTGTAACAGTGCTTGGCCTTTTTGATGCCCCTCCTCAGATTAGCCTCGGAAGTGCTGTAGGCCCGTGCATCCCCTGATCTGAAGGCAGTGTAAACATACACGTAAATGAAGGTCTGAGCCTATAAAGTCTATATATACTATATATAGTATATAGAGTAACCCATTCTGAGCTGGGATCGTACCGGCGACTTTTTGCATGGGAGTCAGTTGCTCTACCTAGGAGGCTAAGGTCTGTCGCTAGAGCACCTTTAGAGGTTAGAGGAATGAGGTTTACCTGCTTTATCAGGTATCAACTTTATCAGATCCTCAGTTGACCACTGATTGATTT